GGTAGCACTGAAAACATGATCCATTAAAGAAAAATTAATAAATTGATTTCTAAAAATTATGTTCTGGCTAGATGTGGTGGCTCATGCCTGTAATCTTAGCACTTTGGGAAGCCAGGGCAGGCAGATCATGAGATCAGGAGTGTGAGACTAACATGGTGAAACCCTGTCTCTACTAAAAGTAAAATAAAAAAAAAATTAGCCAGGCATGGTGGCGAGGGGAAGGGGGTGGCTCCTGTAATCCCAGCTACTAGGGAGGCTGAGGCAGGAGAATCACTTGAAACCAGGAGGCGGAAGTTGCAGTGAGCAGAGATGGTGCCACCGCACTCCAGCCTGGGTGAAAGAACAAAACTCTGTCTAAAAAGAAAAACATTATGTTCTGCAAAAGAATGAAAAGACAAGCTGCAAACTATACATGATACATATTTGCAAATCACATGTTTGACAAAGAACTAGAATCTAGAATATATAACTTTAAAAACTGAACAGTTAGACAACAAACAGTAAAAGTACAGCATGAGCAAAAGACATGAAGAAATATTTCATGGAAGAAGATATGCCGATGACGAATAAGCATGTGAAAAGATGTTCAACGTCATTAGCCCTTAGGGAAATGCAAACTAAAACCACGCTGAGCTAGCACACTTATCAGAACGGCTGAAATAAATGCTGGTGAGTGTGCAAAGAAACAAAAACACTTATACATATAAAATGGTGCAGACACTCTGGAAAACAGTTGATGCTGTTGCTTAAAAATTCAACATGCTGGCCAGGCAAGGTGGCTCATGCCTGTAATTCCAGCACTTTGGAATCTGAGGCAGACAGATCACTTGAGATCAGGGATTCGAGACCAGCCTGGCCAACAGGGTAAAACCCCGTCTCTACTAAAAACACAAAAAATTAGCTGGGCATGGTGGTGCATGCCTGCAATCCCAGCTACTTGGGAGGCTGAAGTGGGAGAATCTTTGGAACCTGGGAGGTGGAGGTTGCAGTGAGCCCAAATCGTGCCACTGCACTCCAGCCTGGGTGACAGAGTGAGACTCTAAAAAAAATAATTAAACATGCAATTACCATACAACTCAGTAATTGTACTTGTTCACACAAAACTTTGTACATGAATGTTTATGGCTGTTTTGTAATGGTTTGAAACAGGAAGCAACCCAGAAATCCTTCAACATGTGGTCAAACTATGGTAGATACATACCAGAGAATACTTCTCAGCAACAAAAAGGAAAAACTGTTCAACAATCTGTTTCAATTTTCAGGGAATTATACTGTGCTGATAAAACCCATTTCAGAATGTTAAGTACTGTCTGATTCCTTTTACATAACATCCTTGGTTGCCAGGTGTTAAGAAGGGAGTGGGTGTGGGAGGGAGGTGAGTGTGGCTGTAAAAGAACAATGGAAAGATCATTGTGGTGACAGAAATGTGTTGTACATTGGCTATGTCAATATCAGCATCATATGCTGGTGATGATGTTTTTCGGCAGTTTTGGGAGATGTTACTATTGGGGAAAACTGGGCAAAGAGTATATGGATTTCTTGTATCACATCTTACAACTGCATGCAAATCTCTGTTCTTTTAAAATAAAAGCTTTAATTATAAATTCAATTTAAGACAAGAAGAAATGTTTTTGTTTGTTTGTTTGTTTGTTTTGAGGCTGAATCTTGCTCTGTCACCAGGCTAGAGTGCAGTGGCACAATCTCAGCTCACTGCAACCTCCACCTCCCTGGTTCAAGCAATTCCCCTACCTCACCCTCCCGAGTAACTGGGATCGAAGGTGCATGCCACCACGGCTGGCTAATTTTTTTGTGTTTTTAGTAGAGATGGGGTGGGGATGTTCACCATGTTGGCCAAACTGGTCCTGAATTCCTGATCTCAGGTAATCCACCTGCCTTGGCCTCCCAAAGTGCTGGGATTATAGGCATGAGCCACTGCACCCAGCTGAAAGAGTTTTAAGAAGCATTTTATCTTTAAAAGGCGGAAGAACATGGGTTTTGGAGATTGGTCAAACATCTGACCACTTCCACTGTTACCATGAGATCATGCATCAGATAGAGCTGAGCAGTTTCTTCTTTTCTTTTTTTTAAAATTGTATTTCCATAAGTTTTTTGGGGAACAGTATTTGGTTGCGTGAGTATGTTCTTTAGTGGTGATTTGTGAGATTTTGGTGCACCCATCACCCAAGTAGTATATACTGAACCCAATTTGTAGTCTTTTATCCCTCACCCCCTCCCATCTTTTCCCCTGAGTCCCCAAAGACCATTGTATCATTCTTACACCTTTGCATTCTCATAGCTTAGTTCCCACTTACAAGATTTTAGGTTTGTTTTTCCATTCCTGAGTTCCTTCACTTAAAATAATAGTCTCCAATTTCATCCAGATTGCTGTGAGTGCCATTAATTCATTCATTTTAATGGCTGAGTAATATTCCATCATATATACAACCGTTTCTTTATCCGCTCTTTGACAGATGGCTATCTGGGCTGGTTCCATATTTTTGCAGTTGTGAATTGTGCTGCTATAAACATGCATGTGCAAGTATCTTCTTCGTATAATGAGTTCTTTCCCTCTAGGTAGATAACCAGTATTAGGATTGCTAGATCAAGTTGTAGTTCTACTTTTTGTTCTTTAAGGAATCTCCACACTGTTTTCCACAGTGCTTGTATTAGTTTACATTCCCACCATAAGAAGCTTCTTAAATTAAAAAAAAAATCCTAACTTCCTGATGAATCTGGATTCATAATATCTGTACTCCATTCTGAGGGGACTTCAGATGTTGGCGTGACTTTATTTCAGTATGTGTTTTAAAAAGGAAAGAAAAGTATGTGATAATATATGTGTGTATCTCTTGCCTCCCAATTTTCTCCATTGATCTGTATCTCTCATTTTACCAGGACTTCCCCCAAACAGCTTTGTTTTGGAAAGCAGAAAAATGTTGTATTATTTGTGCAACACATGCACGTTGCTTTAACTTCCTCAACACTGATTTCCTCAGCTTGAATGTGGAGCCACTAATACCTACCTTTTGGGATTGCATGGGAATGAGATAGAGTGTGGATGAAGCAACTACCTCAATACTTAGTGTATAGCAGGGTCTCAGTAAATGTCGGTAACTCACCCATTCATTCCCCCTGTTGGAGAGTTTAACAACCTGGCAGAGAATTCCAGATACATCCTCTAGGAAGATCATACATCTGTCACATCTAGTGGTTAACTCACTGAAAGCACCTTTATGTCCTCTAAAGAAGGTGGCCACAGTCAAAACATTTAAGTGTCATCCCAAAGCTGAATTAGATCTTGTACTGCTGTGTCCCTTGGCCATTCTCTTCTTTACTCAGTTTCTCATCAGGTTCCTCCATTTGGGAACCAGCCTAATGCCCCTCTTGACTTTAAATAGTACATACTTTCCTCTCATTTTCTTCTTTCTACAATTTCTCCCTTTTTTTCTGAAAACTCTGATTTTGACTTCCTTTAGCACAATTGTCTTTGTCTTCTTTATTTCACAGAACAAAGGAAGTTATTTTGTTTCCTTTTATGGTCCAGAGATTATGATTAGATCAAAGGACATAAGTCCATTGCATGGTAACCTTAATTCTTAGGATTCTGTACAAATTTATCTTCCCTTAACAAAGTTCATGTTAGGAAACAAAATTGCCCCAAAGTTTGGGAACCCAGGAAGCACGGTGCAATCTTGTGTGCTTTGCAAAGGTAATTCTTAATCCTAATTTCTGTTAAGATGAATGAAATGATACCCAGATGCTCAACCATGACAGCAAAGAGGAGGTTCCTCTAGGTGAGGGTAGGGCCAGGAACACCCGTTGTGCTCACACTAGTTGTTGGTGACAGATTCTTCAGTGGTGGGTCATAATCCAGAGATGTAAAGCTCTTTCCATGGACTAGAACTCTTTTTAAAAATTTTGTTTATTTTTATTTTTTATTTTACTTGAAGTTCTGGGATACATGTGCAGAATATGCAGGTTTGTTACATAGGTATACATGTGCCATGGTGGTTTGCTGCACCTATCAACCCGTCGTCTAGGTTTTAAGCCTCACATGCATTATGGATTTGTCCTAATGTTCTACCTCTCCTTGTCCCCAACCCTTGACAGGCCCTGGTGTGTGATGTTCCCCTTACTGTGTCCATGTGTTCTCACTGTTCAACCCCCACTTATGAGTGAGAACATGCCATGTTTGGTTTTCTGCTCCTATGTTAGTTTACTGAGAATGATGACTTCCAGCTTCATCCATGTTCCTGCAAAGAACATGATCTCATTCTTTTTTATGGCTCCATAGTATTCCATGCATATGTGCCACATTTACAGTAATTACAGTATTCCTGTGTATGTGCCACATTTTCCCTGTCCAGTCTATCACTGATGGACATTTGGGTTGGCTCTAAGTCTTTGCTATTGTAAATTGTGCTGCAACAAGCATACATGTGGAGGTGTCTTTATAGTAGAATGGTTTATAATCCTTCTGGTATACACCCAGTAATGGGATTGCTGGATCAAATGGTATTTCTGGTTCTAGCTCTTTGAGGAACAGCCATACTATCTTCCACAGTGGTTAAACTAACTTACACTCTGACCAACAGTGTAAAAGCATTCCTAGAGTTCTTAAAGGTGTCTCTAATGGTAGTAGAGGGGGAGAGTATCTACTTCATAGATAGAAAAGTGTTTGCTTGAGAAGTGACTTAGAATGTCTTTCCTGCACTCAATCATCACTGTGGCATACCTCTGTAGAAAAATGTTTTAAAAAGCAAAAGATCAAAGGACCTGGTCATTGGACCTTCTGTTAATTGGTAGTTGTATGGCAAGTCATTTTCTCAGCACTAAAATATTTGCTCTGTCTAACTTGCAGGTCATTGTGAGACTTGAACGAGATAGTCAATATAAAGCAGAACTCAAAAGTAAGGCTTCATAAAGGAACTGCTGCAAACAAACAAATGAAACAAAATCATACCATCGAATGCAGGGTAATATAAATTTTATTAGGAAAGACTAGGTAGGGAGACAATTAAAAGCGATCACAAAAGAGTTTAGTAATCTGGCAGAAGTTACTAAATAAAATGCATATATCTAAAAGGATGATCATTATAGAGAGTTTTATATGCAGTCATAAGAATTTTTTTTAAGTTCCACAGGGGCAAAAGCTGATGATCACTTCCTGAGGCTGAGACCATGTATCCATGTCAATTAGGTGGAGCTGACTGACCACCATCTGGTACATTAATCCAGGGGAAATAAAGAAGAATAAAATTAAAGAAAAGTAGACTGTATACCTTCAGTAGAATCCCAAGCATGGTAGGAAGAAGATGGTCACAAAGTTCTGTGTCAGAATGTTGTTTCTCAGAAAAGCTTAGCTGGACTCATTGCAGATTTGGCTACAGCAGCTGGACCCACTGCAGGTTGGCTGGCAACAGGGTGTGCTGCAGCAGCTGGTCACACAGGATGGTTGGCAGCAGGTGGGCTGGCAGCAGGTGGTTCTACAAGTGGTTTGACAGCATGTTGGGTGGCAGCAAGACTGGCAGCAGTTGGACCCACAGGTGGGCTGGTAGCACCTGGACCCGCAGCAGGATGTGCTGCAGCAGGAAGGCTAGCAGCAGCTGGTCACACAGGTGGGCTGGCAGCAGGTGGTCACACAGGTGGGCTGGCAGCAGGGGGTGACACAGGTGGGCTGGCAGCAGGTGGTCCTGCAGCAGGTGTTTTGACAGCAAGTTGGGCAGCAGCAAGGCTGGCAGCAGCTGGACACACAGGTGGGCTGGCAGCAGGTGGTCCTGCAGCAGGTGGTCTCACAGCAGGCTGGGCGGCAGCAGGGCTGGCAGCAGCTGGATCCACAGCTCTGGTTTAGGCAACCAGGCAGGCAGACACACATGGGGTGGTAGCAGGTTCTCGTGCAGTACACAGGTGCACAGGAGCTGGTCTGGCCACAGCTGGACCCACAGCTGGTTTGGCCACAGCAGCTGGACCCGCAGCAGGTGGGCTGGCAGCAGGGTGTGCTGCAGCAGGAAGGCTGGCAACAGCTGGTCACACAGGTGGGCTGGCAGCAGCTGGTCACACAGGTGGGCTTCCAGCAGGTGGTCCTGCAGCAGGTGTTTTGACAACAAGTTGGACGGCAGCAAGGCTGGCAGCAGCTGGACACACAGCAGGAGGGCTGGCAGCAGGGTGTGCTGCTGCAGCTGGTCACACAGGTGGGCTCCCAGCAGGTGGTCCTGCAGCAGGTGGTCCTGCAGCACGTAGGCTGGCAGCAAGGGGAGCAGCAGCGGGTCATGGTGTCAGGGGTGGAGGGTGGGCTCCTGTTCAGAGGTGAGTTTCCCAGGATCTGATGACCTCCTCTAATCTGGATCTTTTATACACTGGTTCCCAAATTTGGGACCAATGAACAGAATTTTCCTTGTTATTATTTATGACATTATTTTTCATGACCTATAGGGAATTGCCCCGGGAGGAAGTGTTTTTTAAGTGTTATGAGTCTTCTGAAAATAAATTATTGTTCTACTTAACAATAGATAACCCATAAGAACTTATTTCCAGATGGGAGAGAGGTGATCAACATCAATAGCATCATTTAACTATAAAGTATATATTTTTATTTATTATTATTTTATTGTTATTTTAGAAACAAGGTTTTGCTCTGTCACTCAGGCTGGTGTGCAGTGGTATGATCATAGCTCATCGTGGCCTTGAACTCCTGGACTCAAGCGATTCTCCCACCTCAGCTTCCCAGAGTGATGAGATTACAGGAATGAGCCACTGTGCCTCCCCTGAACTGTCATTCTTTAAGACAGAGTACATTGACTGATCCCTGACAACTGACACTAACCTGAAGAGGCCAGAACGATTGTCACCACCTACTTTTTCTGTCCAGCACTAGAACATGTTGATTAAGTCAAGGTGACAAATGTAAACCATATTTTAAAATATTTTGAGTTACAATTTATATTTTATGAAATTTTTCATCTGTGTCACACAAACACAGATTCGGTGATGGTAATTCTAATAACAGCAACTCCACTTGGGTGTCCCATTCCCTGCAATGAGGGACTGGGCTCAATTGTAATTGACATAATCTTTTCCATGCTGAGCTCCATATCTGTTGATGGCCCTGAGTACAAACATACCTGGGTACATGATGTTTACATTTAGAGGTGAAAAGAAAAGTTTAAAAACAGTTAGTCTGACAACTAAAATATTTTGCTTTGAATCTGCAGTTTAAAAATACAAACACTATTTTGTGTTTTAAATGCAGGAACAAAAGGGACGAGAATGACTCCATCATGTGTATTAATGGGGAAAAGACAGAAAAAGTTGCATAATATTTTGGATGCTTAGCAATTTCCACATCTGGCTTATCTTTGGAAATAGTCTCTTATTTTCACTGGCAACAAAATGGTCTTTTGATACAACTTGATTTGTTCTGACTAAAATTGTGGCTAGGAATTTCTGCCATCTCTGCTGCTGAGGCAACCTGACCTTAGGTACAAAGGTGGACACAGGCCCTGTTTGCTGGTCCAGTATATGGGTAATGGCATTGCCAGTTCATCCTGTAAAGTGATCTGGTGCAGTTCATTGAGTCAAAATGAAGTTATAGTGAAGGAAGGGATGGTGCAGAGTATTTTTTGCTTGTGTCTCCATCCCGAGAATGGGTCTGGCACGTCGTAGGAACAAAAATATGGTTATTGAACGAAGAACTGTACATTTACTAGCCTTTTTTTTTTTTTTTTTTTTGTTGGAATCTTACATGCCTCACTCTGTTGCTCAGGCTGGAGTGCAGTGGCGTGATCTTGGTTCACTACAACCTCTGCCTCCTGGGTTCTAGCGATCCCCCTGCCTCAGCCTGCTGAGTGGCTGGGACTGCAAGCATGTGCCACTATTCCAGGCTAATTTTTTGTATTTTTAGTAGAGATGGGCTTTCACCATGTTGGCCAGGCTGGTCTCAAACTCCTGACCTCAGGTGATTCACCACCTGCCTCAGACTCCCAAAGTGCTGGGATTACAGGCATGAGCCACTGCATCAGCCCTAGCTTGAAAATTTGAACTAACAACCATTTGTAATAGAACTGGAGAATTAGGACATTGGTTTGGAAAAGAAACAGAACGAGTAATTCTATTGTGAACAAGTTAAATTGGAAGCCACGTGCCTTAAATATGTTTTAGCTTCTTAATAATTTGCAAGTGTGCTAAGGTCTGATTTTTTTGGTATTAATTTCCCACAGAAAATTAAATGGTTGGAACACAAAAGAATGACTTGTCCTATGCTCAGAATATCAAATAACACTCTGAAAAGAATACGAGAGAATGGATGAGATGATACTAAAACAAAAAAGGAAGAAAAATGGTGCCTTTAGGGATAACTAGCTGATTAAATGAAAATTATCTTTAAAAACCAAGGCTAACTGTCACAATGTCATGCTTCAGTCAGAATATCTGATAATTTCTCTTTAAGCAAGATAAACAATATCAAGAAAATAACCCAGGGCATGGTGATGGCAAGTCCTCAGCAGAGTAGAGAAGGAAGCTAGGAAGGAAGAAAGCTTATGAACTCTAGTACATTATGCTACTGAAAACCCACACCCAGAATCTCCACCGTTGTCAGCTCCTGCTGTGGCTCCTTCTGCTCCCACCAGAGGCATGGTTAAGACCTCTGCCAAGAGATCTGCTGCTGTTCCAGCTTCTGCCAGACCCCATGCTGCAGGACCACTTGCTGTGGCCACAGGTTCTGTGGGTTCAGTTGCTACCATCCAGTCTGAGCCAGACCACCAATCTCCTGTGGATCCTGGTGTTGAATTTCATTCCTGACCACCAGCCTGAGTCAACCACCATGTTGAAAACACAGTCCTTTTAAGGAGAAGGGGTATCTCTAAGCTGTCTTCCCTGCGTTCAGACAGAGAGGGCTAACTAAACAGACAAATGACCATAGAACCGTGGCTCAATTAGACCAGAATCCCAAGCCTATGATACCTGTACTTGCTTTGACCTTGATAGTGACTTCCTTATGATACATTATGTCCGCAAAAATATTAATATTCTTATTGTCATAGGCAGTTGGGCCACATTCAAACTAAGTACAAAAAAACCTATTATAAATAGACAAGAAAATGATAGAACCTCAATCATAGCAGACACTTTAACACACTATTTCAAAAACGGTCATTTGAAGAAGAAAAGTAAGGATATGGGGAATCTGAGTAAAATCATTATCTAGATGCAATGGATATTTTTATGCCATCTTATGCCTAATAAATTTAATTTTCATAATTTTCATATATACCCCCAAATAGTTATAAAATATGTCCATAAAAATATTCTAAATATGTTCTTGTATCCTTCCTTCCACCCCCTCTTCTGTCTTTCCTGAATAATTCAGACTAAATGGAAAGTGGGTGTCCACCTGGGATAGGTATGGCCTAAAGAAATAACATTTTAAATTTCTTTTTAAAAAATTAACATAAGCTTGAACTTATAGAAAAATTGCAAGAATAGGTCAAAGAGGTTTTTTCTTTATGATAAAAAGAAAGTGATGCTTCACGGCCTCTAGGCACTAGTGTGTGTTTCCTCCATCAAAGGCTTTCCCCTCCATAACCGCAACAGAATTTAAAATCAGGCTTTCACTCTTGCAAACAATTTTGCAAAGAATATCCTTGAACTTATATCTTGGAGCATATGTATAGGTGCATCTGTGGGATACATTTCAAGAAGTGAAACTGCTCAATCAAAACACATGCCCATTTCAAAATATGGTAAATTAATTTAAGATACTGTTACATTTAAGATTCCGTTAATTACTATCTAAAGAAGTTGCCTCAACTTAGATCCTTGCCAAATGTGTATTAAAATGTCAATTTCCTTAGACTTTCACTAATTTATTAAAGTTTTTAAACTTAAATATTTTACATTTGTCATTACAAATGCAAGTATTCACTGCCATATCCCCAGAGCATACAGTAGAACCTGGCACACTGTAGGTATTCAGTAGATGGTTTGATTAATGAATAAATTGTTCAATTAAAATGCTTAAATTATGAGTGAGGCTAAGTATCTTTCAAAAGCTCAAAATGCATTTAAATTTCTTTTTTTAGTGAAATGATTATTCATATCTTTTACTCAATTTTCTGTTTGGTTGTTAGCTTTTTCTCATTGGGTTGTAAGAGGTATTCATGCATTAAGAAAATTAGCTCATTTATTTTTAGATTGGCTAAGATGTTATTATTTGTTTCCAATTTGCTTTTTAGCCTTCTTCTTTTTCAATCAGGCATTTAAATTTTTTTCTGTTGTAATTTTTTTCAATCCCTTTCTTCATTGTCATTAAGTCTTTCTGTATTGAAATCCACTCCACTTCTAATATTTTAAGACAATTTCTACTGTTTTCTTCTAGTAGTTTCACAGTTTCTTTTTCTCAGAAGAATCTTTAGGAAACAAGAAACATCATTTGAGGACTGGTGTGAGACACGAAGTTTTCAGGATGACACGCAGAATGCTGAGTTCCAAGTGACAGCCTGTCACCTGACAATCGACTGGATGAGTAAGATGACAAGTCTTTGAAATTAGATGACACATATAAGAAGATGAGGGAGGAGGAAAGACTGGATTGGCTAAACCCTAACACAGAGAAACAATTAAAGTACGTTCTTTTTATACAGATTTTCCCCACAATTAACTAACTTGATAATTGTATATCTATTAAGATAAACAATAACAAGGAAATAGCTTTTACGTTGTGACATCAGTCCCTCCACTGAGTATAAAAGCGGACATGGGATAAGGGGACTCCCACATTTGGAAAACTTACCATCTTGGAAACCTACCCAGAACCTCCACCCTCTGACACCATGGTTAGCTCTTGGGGCTCTTTCTGCTCTGACCAGGGCTGTGATCAAGGCCTCTGTCAAGAGACCTGCTGCTGCCCCAGCTGCTGCCAGACCACCTGCTGCCGCCCATCCTGCTCTCAGACTACCTGCTGCCAGACCACTTGCTGTCGCCCCAGCTGTGGTGTGTCCAGCTGCTGCCGCCCAGTCTGCTGTCAGACCACTTGCTGTCGCCCCAGCTGCTGCCGCCCAGTCTGCTGTCAGACCACCTGCCTCCCCAGCTGTGGTGTGTCCAGCTGCTGCCGTCCACTCTGCTGTCAGACCACCTGCCGCCCCAGCTGTGGTGTGTCCAGCTGCTGCCGTCCACTCTGCTGCCAGACCACCTGCCGCCCCAGCTGTGGTGTGTCCAGCTGCTGCCGCCCAGTCTGCTGTCAGACCACCTGTTGCCGTACAACTTGCTGCCACCCCAGCTCCTGTGGGTCCTCCTGTTGAACCTCATATTGGACTATCAACCATGAGCCAGCTACCATCATATCAATATGAAAGTGTCATTCATACTGACTTGTCCGAGTGCCAAATGGCCATCATCTTTATTATCTTGTTATCCCACTAAGCAAGTGATGAAAGGGCATCTATCTACATTTAACACCACTCATTTTTCCTGTGGGTCTCTTTCTAGCATTCAGACCTCAAATGCATGATGCAGTGAGACTAAACCTCTGAGTCTCTGACTGTTACACTTGCTTTGACCTTCAAAATTACATGTTAACTGTTCTTCAATAAATGTTCTCTTAATATCAGAAATTATTTTCTCTTTTTTCAATTATTTTTGAGAATTGGTTGTCATTTTATTTTTCAGCATTATTTCTCTCAAGACAAAGACAAGTTTCAGTTTCTATGGCTAGGAAGGAAAACTGATTTTGTAAATATAATCTAATGCCTGTATTATAGAAAAGACTATTAATTTTAAGAAGTAAGATAACTCACTGTATTTAACTAATGAAAATTTCTTATTCAATCAATAAAACGATTGATCACCTGTCATGTTAATTGCACTGTTGGGCTCTGGAGATCACATCAAGATTTGTGAGGCCGCAGATCATATAATTATACCTACACTAATACCTAAAGTTAAATGCTACCTCAAGGCTTTATTATTCTGGAATCTTATCATCCCCATTACTCCTGGAAAGCTTAGTTCTGTAACAAAACTTACTATCACAAATTTTGCCTTTATGAAACAGACACTACTAAATTTCTCATTGATGCTGGTGACTCTCTTACCTGCTCATTCCTTACTGCCTTAGTAAATAGAGTATCTCCAAGGCTCACCCTGGAAACACAGTCAGCTGCTTGGCCTTAAGACCAGAGCTATTTTAGTACTTCCACTTCTCTGTGTCTTTTGATCTCTTCTTCTTCCATGGGCTGTTACCAGAGAAATCTATACTAGTTATCTACTGTTGCCTTATATTATCGCTTCACAACTTAGCAGCTTAAAACAACACACATTATCTCACAGTTTCTTTGGATCAAGAATTCAGGCATGCCTTACCTATGTTTTCTACCTCATAGTGTTTTCCAAGGCTGTAATCAAGGGGTCCGCTGTCACTAGAGTCTCATCTAAAGCCTCAACTAAGAAGTATCTGCATCCAGGCTCACGTATGTGGTTGTTGACAGGATTCAGCTCCCAAGGACCATTGGAAGGATCCTCGGTTCCTTGTAGGCCGTTGGATGGAGGCTGTCTTCAAGTTGTTCCCACATGGATCTCTGTCTCTCATAGCAGCTGGCTTCATCAAACGCAATGAGAGACAGCATGAGAGCAAAGCGGAGTTGGCCAACAAGAAGAAAGTGACAATCTTTTGTACAATAACTTAATCATTCAATGTACCATATGCCATTGGCTAGAAGTAAGTTACTCAAAGTGTTGAAATTACGTAAGACCATCAACACCAGGATGTGGAAATAATGGGGCTAGCTTAGAGGCTGCTGCCCCAGCTCTTGCACAATATTGAGCAAGATAATCAAAACACAAAATACACGTAGTATGAATCCATTTATATTAAATTTTAAAATGTGGGAAAATATACTGTATTTTTAGGGATGCATGTCTAGGTTGAAAAACTATAAAAAATACAGTAGAAAGATTTATAATCAGAATAGTGATTACCTCTAGAATAGAGGGAGGGAAGGAGATACAGTCAAGAAAAGACATACAGGAGCACGTCTTATTTGATGACAAGATTCTACTTCTTGATGAAGGCTTTGGGTACATACATGCTTGCTTAATAACTTTAAATTAATATATGTATTTTATTCATTTCTAGTATATATGTGTTTTTCATTTAAAACGTTTTTTAAAATTTAAGTGAACTGAAATACTTATCCTGTTTAAAAGTCATGATTAGATGAAGCAGTGATTAAAGATAGTTTAGAACAAGGAGATATTTCATGAATGGCATATGGGTATTTATATTATTTTAAATATTATATTTTAATATTATATTAAATATTGCTCTAATTACAAATACCACTTCATACCAAGTCTCTAAAAAAGACTCACAGCTCCACATGGCTGGGGAGGCCTCATAATCATGGCAGAAGGTAAAGGAGGAGCAAAGGCACCTCTTACATGGCAGAAGGCAAAAGAGCAGGTGCAAGGGAACTGGTCTTTATAAAACCATCAGATCTCATGAGACCTCCTCACTATCATGAGAACAGCATGGGAAAAACAAGCCCCCATGATTCAATTACCTCCTGCCAGGTCCCTCCCATGACACTACGACACCATGACACATGGGGAGTATGGGAGCTACAATTCAAGATGAGATTTGGGTGGGGACACAGCCAAATGATATAATTCTCTATCTTGATAGCTATGGGAGTTACATGGATGTATCCATTTAAAAAACTCATCAAATAGTACATTTAGGATTTGTTCATTTTAGTGTATGTAAATTTTATATCATAAAAATAGATACAAACTAAATTAAAATATTTATGAATAAATCCACAAAATTGTCATGTTTGATAATTTGCTCTGAGTCTTTAATTAAACTATGATGAGCTCCTTTGATGTTACTTTACCACAGTATAATACAGTTTGTGTGTGTGTGTGTGTGTATGTGTGTGTGTGTTCCTTCCTGTAAACCATGAACTCCCCTGAAGGAAATCAAATTTGTTATCCCAATGGCTGGCAACTTGAATCTCTCAGATTATCCATTTAACATCTCTTTTCTATAAACAAAGCAGGACCTGGAGCCAGGTGCTTCTGTAAATCTTGAATGAACAGAATAAAGCAGGAGGTGTCTGTGTGTGGTCACTGAACCCTCAAGTAGGCCTCATAAACTGTGTTTTGACAAGCCCTCCAGATGACTCTGAGGCATGCCTGAGTTTGTCCACTACTAATTAGAGGATAAGGCAAAATCTTCATTCAGTAAGCTGGAATTTGCTCAAGTCTTCCAACATTTCAGACTGATCGAAAAAAATGAGTTTTGTAATTTCCCAGCACTGGAACTCAGTTCTGATACCATGCCAGTTCTGATCATTCAATATTTTTGCTGTAATGAAGAATATTCAAAATTTAAAATGAAAGGAGGAATAAAAATGAGGTTATGTCTTCTAGAGTCCAAGAGACCAGCTGGAGAGATGTGACAGAAACTTGTAAGACGCCAAGTAGGAACTTAAGAAACTGTGACCTTTTAGTAACACCAGCTATCCAGATAAATAGCCTACCAGGATTTAAGGATATAGGACAGGACCCAAAGCTTGAAACACCCAGGGAAACCCCTTCCGGTGTAGAGGCTGTCAAGGTCAAATAGAGGAAGAGCTCTCTCTTTCCTCATTGCTCAGAATGACACACAAAATAGGACCTTTTCTTCTTGTCCCAGGCCGGATGCCACACTGAGCACAGGGGCTTTCCTCTCCCTTGGTCATTGGAAGAAATGCATAATTGGTAGTGTAACTGACTAAATCTCATTCTGGTAGGGGGTACAGGAAAAGAGAGTAAGAAATGTAATTCCAAATGCAAAGTATCACCTGATTGACCTGTGCAGAAGAAGAGGAAGATAATTTGGTTTAGAATATGCTATCAAGGTGAGAATCAAGGAAAAGTAGATGGTATAGATCTTGTTACATCTGGACAAGAGTATTTTCTTCCCAGTGATTTAAAACCATTAAATGGACAAATATTATTTTGTAGTCTGATAATTATTTAGCAATTAAAGAAATAAAAACAAGAAAAAGATAGTGACAACAGGAAACTGGGGCAGTATATAAGAGGCTGTAGCTCAAGGAGACTTCTAAACTCCAGAACCCCATTCTCCTGGAAACCCACCCAGAACCTCCACCCTCTGACGCCATGGTCAGCTCCTGTTGTGGCTCTGTCTGCTCTGACCAGAGCTGTGGTCGAGGTCTCTGCCAGGAGAGCTGCTGCTGCCCCTGCTGCTGCCAGACCACCTGCTGCCGCCAGACCACCTGCTGCCGCCCCAGCTGCTACATCTCCAGCTGCTGCAGGCCTTCCTCCTGTATCTCCAGCTGCTGCAAGCCTTCCTGCTGTATCTCCAGCTGCTACAGACCCAGTTGTTGCCAGACCACCTGCTGCAGGACCACGTGCTGCCGCCCCAGCTGCTGCAGGCCCCAGTGCTGTCAGCCCTCCTGCTGCCACCCGGCTTGCTGCATTTCTAGCTGCTATCCTTCCAGCTGCTGTGTGTCCAGCTGCTGCCGCCTCTCCTGTTGCCAGACCACCTGCTGTAGAACAACCTGCTTCCGCCCCATCTGTTGTGGCAATTCTTGCTGCTGAGTGACTTGCTCAGGATTTGTGCACCTTCTTGCTCTTATCCTTCAGTTCAGACAGAGAGCATTGATTCAGAGAACATGTAGACTTTCTGATGTCATGAAAACAGAGGCATGGACTGATTTGGAAAAGCCTAGTCTCTTTGTTAGTATTTATTCTCTTTTATAGAAGCTTTCTGTTACTATTGAATCTGAATTTACAGTCAAATTCCATATTATATGTTTTAGAATTCTTTATTCTAATTCAATATACCTAAGTCTTCAAATGGTACTCTTCTAGATGCTTCTTCCTAGTGTTTTTCTATGGAATCAATTTTCATGTGCAGTTGTTTGATGTTCCTCAATAAAACTTCATAATGTTCAAAAGCACCAAAATGCTCATCTCTTTTCATTTGTTATTAATATAATGGTATATGTGTATTTCTGTCCCTTTTTCTGCACAAAACAGGAGTACATGTTGTCAAACACCCTCATAATTAAAACATTCAATTGGCATTCTCCAGTGAGATTTTATCCAAGCCAGAATTCAGTCTCATAATAGAAATGGGAGAAGAATTTAAGAGACATTTTTGGACCTAACACATATAACGTGAAAGCTGTGGAATGTAACTGTCAGCACGAGTCTTCAATAAACTACATTCCATGATGTGATTTAAACTGATTTAAGTAGAAGCAACTCAGTGTAGAGTATATTCTGTGGATGTGAGAATTATAGAGAGTTGAGACTGAATTCTCACTGTACTGCATACCAACTATGATCTTAGGCATGGTATTTAAACTCTGTCAACCTAGGATTACTTTTCTCTTACGAAAGGATCATAATAACTCAAAAACACATGAAGGTTGTCATAAAATGTCAATGAGATAAAAGTACCTGATTGACAAATAAAAGCATGCTCTCTTTTACTTCCAATTAGCCTCTGTTGTATTTTTTTTTTACTCTTTGTTTTGAAATAACTACAGATTAACATGAATGGAATAAGACAAAGTTCCCTGTACCCTTCACCCAGGTCCCCCCAGTGGTCACTTCTCATAGAACCATAGTATGTGTCAAATCCCCAAATCTGACATTGGTACTAAGTTCTAATAACAAGCATGGTGACTATAGTTAATAACATTGTATTGAGAACTTGAAATTTTCTGGAAAAGTAGATCTTATTGTTCTCACGACACACACAGAAAAAATAATAACTATGTGAGGTAATAAGGTATTAACTTCGTTGTGATAATCATCTCACAATACATACATATCAAGTCATCATGTTGCACACTTGATATATACCAAATTTTATTTGCCAAATGCCTCAATAAAACAGGAAAAATGAAAGTGCTAAAGTACTAGAAGAAATCATGAGAAATTTCTAAACATAATGCAAACTTATGTGAAGAAAAACACACATGCTCATCTTAAAAAGAAAAAAAAAATAGCCAATTAATGTAAATAAAAGTTATCTCTACTGGTAGGCACCAGTCATCAGAGTTCCTCAAGGGTGTGATTCTTTTTTGAAAATACAAGATCTCAGGGAAATCTTAGAGTCATTCTCAAATACCATAAAAGGGCTCACCAGAGTTTTAACCCTGTAACAGCTCAGAAACTGCTTCTGTTCACATTGACTGAGGAAAACGGCTCAGGACTACAATACGATGCTGTGTCTGGGCACATCACAGCCAGTGTAGGCTCAGAACCCCAGCCAGTGCTCCGAGCAGTGGTCCACTCACAGAGCCCAGATTGTTATCATCCTGGTTATGCAAGCCTGGAAATCAGGACCAAGGCAGTAGTAGAAACTGGTTAGCAATATACAGCAGTAGAAAATGGTTAGCAATATAACAGCATCATATTCCACTTGTTAGACTTACATGTACCTGAGTGCAGAGAGGGAAGCTCAAAGCAATTTCATCCAATTCCCTGTGTCTGGTTCTTGCATGTGCCTCAGTCAGCAACAACAGCTCACATGGAAGGCCCTCCCCCGATTATCTCTAGAGGCAGCCCATTTCATAGAGCACCTTCTCATGGTGAGTCAGATTTTGTTTCTTCTTAGGAGCATCCTGTCTCCCTAGACTATATCAGCCCATGGTAGCTTTCTGGGCAAACCCAATCTCACACAGAGCCCCTTTAAGCTGCACTGCCATTGCTTTGCTCCAGTTTTCTCCTTTTTAGGTTAAATCTCCAAATTGTTTTCATTCGTTCCTCACAGATCATAATGTCACTCTCAGAGCAACGTTACTTTTCATAAACTCCAATTTATCTGTATCCTTCTAGCCTGGTTTGAAATGCATTTTCCAGGTGTGTTCTGAATACCCTGTTAGGATTAGAAATGCCTCATCTGCCTTAGTAAATGTCCCACTTTTATGAATGTTTCAAGTTTGCATGCAGGAGTTAACACAGGGTTAGTGGCAGTAAGTGGTTGACAGTAAGTGTGAATTAATACTGAGGTTAGTAGAGTGTGCGGCACCTAGTAGTCTTCATCATAAACTGCTTCAAGCTCTTATACACATACAGTGGCTGTTTCTAGACCAGAAGTTCTCAACCTGTCTTTCTACTGCGTGCCTGGAGTAATAGGGTTCATTGTGGTGGTCCAGGTTGAGTACTGCATATCTGAAATGCTTGGCACCAGAAGTGTTTCAAATTTCATGTTTTTTCAGAGTTGGAATATTTACATTATACTTGCTGAGCATGCCTAATGCAAAAACCTGAAATCCTAAATGCCCTATTGGGCGTTTTCTTTGAACATCATGTAGGTACTCAAAAAGTTTTGGGCTTTGGAGCATTTCAGATTTCGAATTTTCAGATAAGATGTCCTCAACCTGTAATATTTTATCTGGTGAAGGGGTGCTAATAGTTGACACAATCTTAGAGTGTGTGCGTTGTTAAATAAATACTCCCAATAAATGTAGATATATTTACTCCTCCCCAATCTTGTTTACCATGGTGCATTAATAACCACTCAATTGATCTACATTTGGTTCTGATATTTCATCTTGTTAGGTTTGATCCCTTGTAAGAGTATTTCTGTAGCTTCCGGAACCATGATTCTGCCATTTGGCATACTCACTCTTTCTTACCTTCATGGCCCCCAAATATTTTGAGAAGCATGTTTTATGGAAAGACCCTCACTCAGAAGAGTTGAGGTGTCCATAGCTATCCTCAGAGAGACCAGTCCAAACAGGAATTGCTAACACAAGAGCATCCTAAAGTGGAGGGTGACACATAATTGGAAGAATGTGGCACAAAGGAAGTTTGGGCCCCCATCCTTGGGTTTCCTTAACACCCAGGTTTGGAGGACTGTGCGTGCGTGTGTGTGTGTATGTGTGTGTGTGTGTGTGTTTGTGTGTGTGTGTGTGTGTAATATTCCTAAGGTAAAGGGCCTTAGGAAATAAAGGTAAATACATATATATATACATATAAAATATATATTCCTGAATATGTTATTATATATATTATATATTTATACATATTATTAAATACAAATATATATAAGGAATATATATTAGGAATATGTATTATACATATTCATAAATATATAAATATATATATTCCTATATTACCGATATATAAAGTAAAGTACTATGTGTATATATATGGCCCCAAACCTGTATATGTGTGTGTGTATGTGTGTGTGTGTATGTGGGTATACTTATATATGGTGTATATAGATATGTGTGTGTGGGGATATGTGTGTATATATGTGTGTGTGTGTGTGTGTGTGTATATTTATATATGGTGTGTATATTTATATATGGTGTATATATATATGTGTGTGTATGTGTGTATATTTATATATGGTGTATATGTGTCTGTATATTATATACAGTGTGTGTATATATACATATGGCAAGGACACTGGGCCCTTTACCTCAGGTTAGCAAGTAAACCTTAGAAATAGAGGCGATGACTCAACGTGCCTGTTAAAGTCAGTGAGACAGGAAAGAAAAGTCAAAAGGAAAATCAGCCCCTAGGGGCAGAGAGCTGAGAGACCTGAACCCTTTAGTATAGCTCTGTAGCCAATTTCCCTTAAAGTCCCTGAAACTGAGTTTTGGAGTGTTGTTTCTCAAGAAAAAGAAGCATCAATAATTAATGACTTAGATGTCCACCTTAAAACAATTCTCCTTTCCCCATCAGAAAATCTAGACAATCGGTTATGATTCATTGTATGGAAGAGGGCAAAGAATATATCCTAATAGTATTTGTGTTTTCATGCCACTGGTCACCTGTTTCACATTCAAACCTTCATTGCCCACTGGATCCATAACAAACATGCCATGAAATTAAAGCACAGCTTTCTCCTCCTGAGTTACCAAAAGAAAATTATGGGCCTAGAAGAATCAAAATCACCCAAGGTCAAACATAATGTATTAAGGAAAATGAGGTTGCAGCACATGGTATTTACAAGCAGATGTCACATGGCAGCTCCAGGAGGAAGCTACAGCAAGAGACATGCAAGAGGTTGTTCAAGAAGAGCTGACCTGAGGAATCATAATCTACCAGGGGAAGGAAATAATGCTTTCCTCCATGTTGACAAATTTAACCAGAAAAACAAACCATTTGACTAATTTGATAATTAACTACTTATCAGGACAAACAATAGCAAGGAAAGAGTGCTGCATCTGATGACACTGGCCCTTAGCAGGGTATAAAAGAGGATCTGGGGGCAAGGAGACTTCCAAACCTTCCAAACCCTCCTTCCTGGAAACCCATCCAGAACCTCCACCCTCTGACACCATGGTCAACTCCTGTTGTGGCTCTGTCTGCTCTGACCAGGGCTGTGGCCTGGAGAACTGCTGCCATCCCAGCTGCTGCCAGACCACCTGCTGCAGGACCACCTGCTGCCGCCCCAGCTGCTGTGTGTCCAG